ATTACGCTTTCACACCTAAACTACTAAACCGCTTTAAAAAAATGGAAGGTTTACATTAACCGCGAGTAATATAGGCTGCTTTTTACCGCGATATAGGACATACACGCGAACGAAGCCACGTGCATAAACTAGTCTATACATCTTCTATACAAATAAATAAAATTGGAGTGTCTGTTTGTAATATTAAAATAACCACTTTTTACTAAATGCATATGTATGTTTACACGGTACATATGCCAAAATAACATTTTTTACAATTTTTGTCTGTCTGTCTGTTTGTTCCGGGTAGTCTCTGGAACCGCTGGAACGATTTCGACGGGACTTTCACTGGCAGATAACTGATGACATAAGGAGTAACTTAGGCTACTTTTTTTAGACTAGCTTCGCCCCGCGGCGTTGCCCGTTGTTTTAATAACAAACGCGGGTAACAATTTATAATGGCCCGAGTACACGTTGGACAGACTCGACAGAGTCAAGCCGACGCCAATGTGTACACGGGGTATTTTGCATACGTGCGCGGACTTTTGGCTAACTCGATGCGTTTAACACACTTCAAAGGAATCTTGTCGTAGCTGAGCCTATGGTGTTTACACACTCGCCCAATGTTCAGTTCGTCGTTCGTTCATTTAGTAAAAAGCTGTTATTTTAATATTACAAACAGACACTCCAATTTTATTTATTTGGTATGGATACCTATTTACCATTGAATTTATTACTGTCATAGTAGATTTTTTTTTCCAATGTGTAATAAAAGTAAGGATAGCGCACAATTCACGTGTTTTTGAGGTTGTCTCACCAGGATACCAGCTAAGCGAAGAGGTTTAAATAGAAAAAAACCACATATTGCTGAACAAGCCTGTGCTTGCGATTTTGTTTGCGTACCCCAGTACGACCGAAATTATTGAGTGAAACGCCAGTGGATACCATCCGTCGTCACTTCGCCGTCTTGGGATCCCTTCCGCTATTCATCCATTCATCTTACCAGCGCTTCAGACTTGGGTCAGAACCACAGTTCGACTCCGTACCGATAGTCGACATGTGATCAAAGCGCAGCAACACCATATTGAACACTCCACTAAATGTACATCTTTACCTATTTTCTGTGCCGCGTTACTGCTGTGATAGTACTACAATCACGTAATTATAAAACTTCACATAAATGTTATTTTAAATAAGTAATGTTAGAAAGTTATCTATACGTGCATTTAAGGTCCAGACGAACAAAAAGCAGACCCTAATAAATAAGTGAACTTTATGATCTCAAGTATTGCGAAGTGGATGACGGCCCATTGTGAACAAAAGACTTATTGCGTTCTTAAGACGAATACCATAAAAAAGGGATAGCCAAGGGTCCACGATAGCAGTTAAAAATAGGCACATGTGCAAGACAGCACACGAATAAGCGTGAGAAAAGCCCTTAGTTAGGAGTCCTTTTGGGAACGTTAAGGGATAAGGAACGGGGCAGTTGGTCTTGAGTCGTAAGGCAAGTCGGTCGGTCGGTCTTAGGAGCTAGGAAGCAGAGGTTGTTCGTCAAAAGCTGAACGTGCTCGGACGCGCGTATTGCAGTTAGTTTGAGTAAGTTAAATATATAGAACGTTGAGGACAGCTAGGTGAGTCATTATTGGTTATGATAATTTAGGTTTGTTTAGGATAATTGTTTGATGTTTAGGATAATTATTATATTATACATAATTATATTCCGGTCTGAGTAACGTAGTATTAATTAATAATTTAGATGTAGTTTCCATGCAGTTTCCCTGCTAAATTTTACTTACGCATTTGGTATTGGTTAAGATATCTTGAATGTGATAGAATGATTCGTGACCCCTTTATAGTGCTCTACAGTGTGGTGAATCGAGGTATAACTGAGGCGATACGACCACCTTGGTTGATCAGATCAACCAGGCCGCGGTCCTTGCTACACGGTTATCCTTCGGTGACCTGTCATTGTGGTGTATTTAGGAGGAGGTTAGTGTAGGTTCAGTGAGTGCCGTGTACTTGAGTGGAGAGTGTCTTAATGGGCTTGTCCTGGGTGGTCGGTTTGCGGGAAAGCGCTGATACTGTTGATGAATTGATGGAGATCGAGCGGTCCGAGTCCGCCGTCGGCGCACGCGTTGTGTTCGGTAGCATAAGGGTTAATGCCACATCAGACGAGCAGTATTCACGTGTCTGACCTTGCGGCCTTGAGCATTCGGTTGTAGAAGTTGATTGACTCACTTTAAGCTTAAGTGCACAATGGATGGAAGTCTGATAGGATAAGCACAACCAATACCAATGTATTTAATTATTTCATTTAGACTTTGATTCCCTCTTATCGCGGTGTTTTGTTGTCTATTCGAACGTTAAAAGCCAGTGGGAAGATGTCCAGTCAGGGTCGAGTCTTACAGCCTGGCGCGGTTGGAGGAGCGTTAGACCTCCCCCACAGGGAGGGGAGCTGGCTACGTGTTTAATAGTTGAAAAAAACTGCTTTACTCAGGCTAGGGTATTTGAGGTACCATCACACTGCTTTTGCAAAACGGTCGAAATTTAGATGTCGTAGGCTAACGTTACAGTACTTTAATATGCTCGTATGAAAGCGGCGAAGTATAAAATAAAATGATTTTGTGGTAATACAATTGTATCAGAAATACTAAAAACTGAAAGAATTTTAGTACCCATATTAGTCAATAGATGGCATTTACCTGGAATTAAAACATTACTCTCTTAATGGTGTATTGAATAATAATTGTTGAAATAAAGTATAAGTTATTAATTAACATTATATCTGTACGCTTCAATAATTAAACACATGTATTAACTCTCGAACATTCAGTGTCCAATAGATAACTAGACAAACCACACGTGTTTTTATTTCTTCCATAACGTTTAACTAAAGTCAACATAAGTACCAAAACAATATCTTATTAATTTCTTTTTACCTAACTAAATGTTAGTCTTAAAGGGCTAAAATTATTCAATATCCCTGAAGCATTCAAGTGCATTTATTTTTTCTTATCTTTTCTGTACCAAAGTGCAGTTTTGCGAAACTCAATAAAATTATAATTACGTCCACGGAAGCTAAATAAATTGATTTTAACCATCTGATGATAAGTTATTTATGCGTCACTTTACTAACAAAAATAATAAAACTGAGAAGATTGATTGAAAACAATTTTATACTGAACAGCGCCACGTGAGTTTTCAGTTTTCAACGTATTCCTACTGGGCTACCAGGAAAGTGAAGAGGTGTATATTTTATACAGACATAAATAAATATATAGAATGGGCGTGCAACACATGTAGCACTACCTAGGTTTAGAGTTGGGGTAAACGCTTCACACTACTGCATCTACCGTCTGGCATACTTACTACTATATATTGTATATATTACAATAAATAGGTAGTTTTATTCGTTGATCTCCGCGTTCTTCTAATAGCCTAGTAGTTTGTCGTCATCGCAAACACCCTAACAAGCTGGAGTTAAGATTTTACACACATAGAGACAGCACCAATACGATGGAGACCGTGGCATGAACAATTATTATTGTCATCTTCAAGAAAAAGCGCCATACATGGGCACTTTCTAGTCTTCCCAATCTCTCTCTGTAGATCAGAAATATGGACGCTACAATTAAGGAATTGACGCAAAATGTCATAGAAATATTTTGCTAGAGACTCCTGCTTAGAATTTGTTTTACAACTCGTAGGAATAACAATTATTAAACATATAATTTCGGAAATGTTTGTATGTAGACTTCTTTAAAAGTTAAAGCCTTCGTTGGTCTTGCTTCATTGTTATTAAAAAAATCTTAAATAATAATGTTCTACCACATTCACGCAACGCCATCTAGTTACAAACTAAGCAGAACTTGTAGTATGGGTACTAGACAACTGATATAAATACTTATATACTTTTTTTGTAAATACATACATATTATACATAGAAACACCCAGACCAAATCAAACATAACATGTTCATGCATACAAATGTTTGACTTGAGCGGGAATTGAACCCGCGACTATTGGAATAGCAGTCCGTTACACAAACCACTACGCCATCCGGTCGTCATTAGACGACCACTAGTAAAATAAAATATTCAACCTTGGAACATACCTATGCTTACTTAGCTTCGGATAGATCAGTCGGAGAGATAAAAATGGACGAAAGCTGCACCCATTTTTTTAAATAATACTAGACGATGACTTGGTCGAGCACATGGATCAGGTTAAATACCTGGGAGCTGTATTTCACGCCTCCGGTGACATCGTACAGTTTAACGTTTATTCGTATTCAAGTGAGATGAGAATGAAGAACCGCAACACTACGGTACAGGACCTTACTACGTTTACCAGGGTTTACCTTACTTCCTTTCTAGGGTATACCTGGTTCCCCGGCTATTAGTACCCGAGACGGCGTGCGGTTTTAGTCGGTTCGAGTCCGACAGGTGGTATCCGAGGGGATTTCCGCACGGAAAAAAAAGGATCTTACTACGTGACTTTGAAATGAAGTTTGAAAAAAAACATCTACTATATAAAAATAAGTCCGGTTTTCCTTCCTGACGCTATAACTCCAGAACGCACGAACCGATTTCCACGGTTTTGCATTCGTTGGAAAGGTCTCGGGCTCCGTGTGGTTTATAGCAAAGAAAATTCAGGAAAAATTTCAACAGAAAAGTGGGAAAATCTTTTTTCACATACAGCGCTACAAACCAATATTTTAAGTAGATGGCGCCGGTGCGTGATACATTGTTTGACAGCTACTCATTGTTCTCTGCTCAGTTAATTTCATGTGACAAACCAGTATTGTGTTAACTGTAAAACTGTGAAAAAAAAGTAAAAAAAAATAAGTTATTCTTTTCCTAACATTTCAATTGGAAACCATCAAATCAATCACGTGTATTGTGCAAATTTTTATTCAATTTCAACAGCAGGTATTTGTCTTTAAGGTGGTAAGTTGAACTGTGTAAATTATGTGGATCGTGCATTTGAGGTTAAATTCACCACTCTGTCCATAGTCCAAAATGCCTAGAGGACGACGTGCGAACATCGGCCGCCGCACAAGACATGCAAGCCAGCAACAAGTGTATTCACAGAACATAAGCGAAGAAAGACAAAATATAATAAGAGAAAATGCCCGATTGAGACAACGCGTGAGCACACGAAGATCATTGGCATCATACAATCGCTTGGCATTCCAATATGATCCCACTGCGAACTACAGTGATGATGAAAATTTAGATATTGGACCAATGACGACTCTATGCCGATATTGCAATGTGTTAAAGTTCAAAAGAGAAACGGCTGGATTGTGCTGCGCAAGTGGAAAAATCAAACTGGATCCATTACTTACACCACACAGCCACTGAAACCATTGTTCGATGGAAGTGATCCCGATTCCAGCCATTTTCTTCAACACATCCTTGAATACAATAACTGCTTTCGCATGTCTTCCTTTGGAGCTAATATCATTCGAGAAGGCGACTTCATGCCGACTTGCAAGGTAAAAGATACAACACACATAACCAATCACTCACACCAACACAATGAATTGCAACACATAACAACTACATATACACCACACACTACACCATCACACGATCAGAAGTTACACCGTATTCTTCAACAAATGATTGTTTGCAATTACAGATACAAGGACAAATATATCATTTGCATGGTTCAATGGTACCAACACCAGATGAACCGCATCAATTTCTGCAAATATATTTCATTTCGTCGATGGTGGATCAGCTGAAAGTGCGGTGCAATATAGGGAACACAACAGTTAAAGAGACGAATTATTAAACAGTTGCAAGCATTTTTTCACGCTAATAATGTTGTGGTTAATATGTTCAAAACAGCGATTCAATCAGGCAAAGCTACGATCTGAGGACTAAATACACTTGCGTGATGCTATTCATTCAGATGGTGATGTTCAGAATATTGGACGTCTGTCGATTCTCCCATCATCTTATATCGGAAGCCCACGCCACATGCACGAATACGCTCAAGACGCTATGACGTACGTGCGAAATTATGGAACTCCGGATTTATTTATTACGTTCACATGCAATCCGAAGTGGACGGAAATTGAACGTGAGTTGGAACCGGGCCAAAAACCGCAAGATCGCCATGACATAATCGCCAGAGTAGTTCAGCAAAAACTCAAGGTTATGATGGATGTGCTTACTAAGTATCGAGTTTTTGGTGACACACGTTGTTACATGTACTCGGTGGAATGGCAGAAGCGTGGACTACCGCATGCTCATATCCTAATTTGGTTGCTGAACAAATTACATTCAAATGAAGTGGATGACATCATATCAGCTGAAATTCCTGATCCAGTCACTGATCCCCATCTACACGACATTGTGACGACACAGATGGTGCATGGACCGTGCGGTGCATTAAATCCATTATCGCCTTGCATGGCTGATGGAATGTGCTCAAAACGATATCCGCGACCGTTAGTTGCGGAAACAGTCACAGGGAACGATGGATATCCAGTTTATCGTCGGCGTTCAAAAGAAGATAATGGTCGAACTATCAAAGTTAAAGTTCAAAATCAAGAGATTGAGATCGGAAATGAATTCATTGTACCATATTGCCCGCTGCTATTACGAATTTTCGAAACACATGCAAACGTTGAGAGTTGTCATTCGGCCAAATCAATCAAATATTTGTGCAAGTACGTCACAAAAGGCATGGCAAGACATGGCTGTGTTTGGTATTGCGTCTGAAAATGCGAATGACGAAATCAGCAACTTCCAAATGGGCAGATACATCAGTTCTTGCATCGCTTGCGCATTCAAACGAATAATCCTGACATCCAAATAACCGATGAAATCTACAATGAAGGATTGATTTTGATTGAGGATCAATGCTTGACTATTGCAAACAAGCTACTGATTGAAGTAGGAATGATTGCGCCAAATCGATCGATGCACGATGCATTCAACCAAGAATTAAATCGAGAGCTGCAATACAATGTTGATACATTGCAGGAATTCGTTCGAAATAATGTGCCGTTGCTGAATGAACAGCAAAAACAAGTATACGAAACATTAATGCAAGCGGTGGACAATAATACTGGTGGTCTATTCTTCCTGGACACACCTGGAGGAACAGGGAAAACATTTGTCATTTCATTGATTTTGGCTACTATTAGATCAAGATGTGACATAGCTTTGGCGTTAGCATCATCTGGAATTGCGGTGACTCTTCTAGATGGCGGTCGTACTGCACATTCTGCGCTTAAGTTGCCACTCAATTTAAACACAATTGATACTCCAACATGCAATATTTCCCGATCCAGTGCAATGGGAAAATTGTTGATGCAATGCAAGCTCATTGTTTGGGATGAGTGCACAATGGCACATAAGAAATCACTTGAATCACTTAACTTCACACAGAAGGATCTTCGGCGAAATAACAACATCTTTGGCGGCTTGATGAAATTGTTGGCAGGCGATTTCAGGCAGACGTTGCCAGTAATTCCCCGTGGAACGCCTGCAGATGAATTGAATGCTTGCCTGAAGGCATCACCTTTATGGAATAACGTAAAAAAATTACCGCTAACCACTAATATGAGAGTTCAACTTCAAAATGATCAAAGTGCTGCACAATTTTCCAAACAATTGTTAGCTGTTGGAAATGGCAAAGTCCCAGTTGATGCGACATCTGGATTAATTACTCTTAGCAACGACTTTTGCCGATTTGTAGACTCTCAATTAGCTCTTATTGAAAATGTTTTCCCAAACATTAGTGAGAATTATCAGAATTATGCTTGGTTAAGTCAACGAGCAATTCTTGCCGCAAAGAATAATGATGTACACGCACTGAATTTCACCATTCAATCAAAAATTGCTGACGATTTGGTGACATACAAATCCGTTGATTCCATAACAAATCCCGATGATGTAGTAAATTATCCAACGGAGTTTTTGAACTCTCTGGAGTTACCAGGATTTCCACCACATAACTTGCAACTCAAAGTTGGTACAGTTATTATGATATTGCGTAATTTGAATCCACCGCGACTTTGCAACGGTACTCGACTTTCGGTAAAAAGACTTATGCCGAATTTGATTGAGGCAACCATTATTAACGGAAAGTACGCAGGTGAAAATGTATGTATTCCTCGAATACCAATGATTCCGACTGATCTTCCGTTTGACTTCAAACGATTGCAATTTCCAGTTCGCCTTGCGTTCGCAATGACAATTAACAAGTCGCAAGGCCAATCGCTTAGTGTTTGCGGGATAAATTTAGAAAATCATTGTTTTTCACATGGGCAGTTATACGTTGTGTGTTCACGAGTTGGGAAACCATCCGCTTTGTTTGTGTTAACGTCAGACCAAAAAACAAAAAATGTGGTTTACCAAAGAGCACTTCAATGAAACGGATAATTTGCGGACACGTATAACGCTTCGATTCAGTATTTACTTTGGATTCACTTTCATTTACTTAGAGAAGTTCAACTAAATAACACTTCATTTTTGTAATCGAAATGAATTCATTACTGTTGTGAAATGAAATAAAAAAAATTCTTTTCAAATATAAAACAAAAAAAAATTCTTCTTCTTTTAATCATCAAACGAAATTTTACATAAAACGAAGCCATCTGGTGGCGAAACGGAGTTCGCCGGGTTTGCTAGTTGTGTATAAATTGGTTATTTCCTTTGTTTCAAAGATTTAAATTCAACTTTAGGCATTAAGAATTGTATATCTTGCGACAAAACAAAAAAGCTACTCGTAAATAAGTCATAATTAAGATAAAGTTATTTAAATTGTGTGAGTTACGTCTATACAAAGTTATTTTGTCTTGAAAACTATAAAACGTCAAACGGTACCTCTTAGATTGAATGGATTATAAAAGGGTAATAACAATATACCTATTTATTAAGAAACGTCCAACCAGCCATATTAAAAAAAAATGAACACATCAAGAGTAACAAAATAGTAACGAAATGTGGAATAATAACTTTCAGTGTTTACAACACTTGCAACCAAACAGACAGCAACAAAGCCACGTGTTTTCTGACCCCGTAGTACCAGGACAGCAAGTCGAAAGAGAGCTATCATTATGCGAGGAAACCGATAGGGAGCTTGCGAATAGCTAGAGGCGTTGTACGTAGCAAGATGTTTTTTTTGTTTAGCGGGGATGTGTGGAGTTTTCAAGATCCACTCATGATATGTTACGCCCTGTCGTCTTAGTAATTAATTAATGCGTCCGCGACATCATCTGCGTAGAATACCTATAATAAATATTTGTACCTCGGGAATTCTACTTTAGAGTCTAAAATAACACACCTTTTATGTAATAGTAAATTAATTTAAGTGTTTTTCATCTTTTGCAGGTTTCATATTGATGAGCTTGCTAGCATACGAGAGGCACTCCTCGCATAACACATACATAGTACAGATAGGATAATAATAATTTTAATAATTTCTTGACGCATCTCACACAACGCCATTTTATCCGAAATTAGGCAGAATGCTAAATTAACCACACTGCTGATGAACATACTTATGTTGTCATACTTGTGTATTTGTCGTAGTTAATTTCAGGGTCCCATATTACTTAAACAATTAATGTCTAAACCATGACGAGCCTCAAACGAGCCATTTCCGACAAAAACGAAGTCTCATTATATGCAGGAATAAGAATACAATATACTCCTCTCCCTGTGTAATTACTTGCCTCTAGGCTCATAAAGATAAACAAGTCATTTCGAGGTCAATGTGTCCGATTTTATAATAAAATCCCAGGTATCTAAGATTTTAGTATATTCAAATTTAAATCCACAACAAAACTTCAACTGTGTCAGAAAGCCTATAACTCAATTGTGGATTACATAGAAGACAAGAATGCTTGGGATTCATTCAGTACAGGATATTTCGTATTGGAAATATAATGTGGGCTAGTGTGTCTTATTTAATTTTCCATTTTTTTTTATGTTTTACTTTACTTTATTTTTTATTCCATCTTTTTTCTATATCTTGTTTTCTCTTCATTGCCTTTTTACCTTTTAGTCCTTAACTCTCATATACCGGCAAACATCAAAACAATGTTGTGTATAATTAATGATGTTATTGTTATCTGTTGATTAAAAAGAGAGGCCGTGAGTTTTTTGGGCCTTTTCTTCTCATGAGGCTCAACCCCTTGAAAATGGGCGGTTGTAAATGGGCACAGGCATATAAGAGATTTTCGATACGTATATATTTAGTTTGCAAGATATGTGTCAAGACAGACATTGTTGTTATTGTGTGTGATAATCTATGACTTTAGAGTCTACACAAGAGACGATTTCAATTATTATCTTTATGAAATAAAGATATTTCAGTTAGAGTTTATACTCTATATTTAAAATAATAGTTTATTAAATGTTTAGACATTGAACAAACTTCTTTTTTCAAAAATTTTCTTTTAATCTACGACTATTACTTTTAAGCCAAAAGCACTGTAATAAAGTTTTGGGTTGAAAACACTGGCCTATTTAAAGAATGAAAAAATTGTACCAAATTTAAAACTTAAATATTAAAATGATTTTTTTGTATTTATTGTTCCCATTTTTGGAGACATCTAGTGATACAAAGGTGCACTAGATGGGTGTGTGTGCAAAACCCATGCATCTTAAAGTGCAATCGATCGTACAGTTGTTGGGGGAGGAACAAGTGACACCGAACTACTAGGCTGGCAGTGGCGCATAGAGATCGTCACTGCACATTTGGTGTTAGAAACATAATATCATGTCTGATGTGCATGATAGTACAGCAGGTACTAGTGCGCCTGCGCGATGCAC